CATTTCAGCATCAAAGTGAGAAATGAGACGCACAGAAAGAGAGAGAGAACAAAAGCGATGCAATGTAATTTATCATGAGATGATTGAAAGGTGAGGCGCCCAAATGAAAACACATTTTACATCGGAGTGGTTCACATCGGAGTGCGTGAGATACGACGAATAATTTTTGGTGTTTTTAAACTCTATTTTTTTTTACATAGTTTTCAAAAGGTTAAACCACACTGAAATGTGTCATGAAATATCACACGTGAACAACAACAACAAAAAAAAATAATGAAAAACTGCGTGAAATTGGCAATCGCTATTAGCAAATGCAATGTGTGCTATTGTCAGGCTGACGGGACAAGGTAGAAAAAAAAATGTACACATAGTTCATTTGATTCATGTCGATCATGGAAAACTAGGTGATACTCTATTGAGTGAGAGTTAAATGCTAATGCCCATAATGATGTGATTCTTGTGTGTACTCGACGATCGCACCGAGTTTTTTTTAAGACGACTCTGTGAAATGCTTGATGGCCATGCGTAGTCAATCATTGGAATCGTTTTAGCCTGAAACCATTTTCTGTCACTTGGTCTGTCTGTTCTTCATTTCTACGGCTCTGTGTATGCGCGTGTGTGTGAGGCAAATCACACTTTTTTATGTTGTTCGATTAATTTATGCATGTACCGGCTACAAATGATTTTATTACGACTTGATCTGTCCAGTTTCCAGTAATTCAATGCTTAATTTAATTAAACTCAGCGATCACAATAGAATGCGGCTTAAGAAAAAAAAAAAATCGTGAAAAGAAATTATCTCAGTGCAGAAGATGAGCATGAAAAGAGAAAGAGAGAAAAGTGAAGCGAAAAATTCGAGAGAGATGAAGAAGAGCAGTCGAATTGGAAAATGTAGTTGTGCGTTTTGTGACGGTAATGGTTGGAACGTGAATAATTGCTGGACATTAGTTTTGTTTTATTTCGGCTAGATATGTTTGATGTGCTTTCCGGAATAATATGTGAATCGAACCGTTAAGCATTTTGTATTATGTATAAAACACGCGTAGTTCCACATTATCCGCGCACAAGTACACAACAGATCGAACACAGACGGTCAAACAATGGACAAACGATCAGAGGAAAAAGTCGTCAGGTGAACTAAACAATGGAAATAAGTATCATCGAAATCACTTTTTTTTCTTTTCAGTTTTCATCTCGTTTTTTTCCGGCTCTTTCTCTATCACCGACTCTTTCTCTTGCTCTTTTGCTTGAAAAAAGTCCCCTACGCAAACTGATACAGACGAATTGAGCGAGAGAGATAGACCGGACCAATCGATCAATCGAGATATGGCACGGAGGCTATGACACACGCGATCAACACAATGCAAAAGTGCAATTGAGAGCAAGAGTATTAAAAATATCTTAATCAACAATGTACATAAGTTGCCAAATAACATCCAAAAACTCTATAATAATATTAATCGTTTTGCTTGAGCCAATGTATTGCTTCATTACCGTGTGTAATTTACGTCGGTTATTACATACGTCTCTCTCTCTCTCTCTCTCTCTCTCTCTTTCTCTCTCGCGCTCAGACCGATCGTTAATCTTGTGGCAACTGTCTTTATGTGCCACTCATTGTATACTTATTGTACATTTGACACACGCAGCACTTCTTCCAAATGCTAAAAAAGCCACATTCCATCACAACACAAAGTAATGTCTCTATCTCATCAATTTATTTAAATGGTTTTTTTTTCTTGGACGATACGTCGATCGAAATGTATGTCTCGAGGCAAATAGTACACCAATTTCATTGAACAAATTACCTTTATTAAATGCAATAATAACTTTTATTATATTTTATTGGTGGAAAAATTCAAATGAAAAGAACGTGAATGATCGGAGCGACGTGCCAAAAATGTCTTTAATTGCTTTCTTCGCCAAAAACAGCCAACGGGCAAGAAAATTCAACGATCATTTCGACTACATGGCCGATTTGATGTTTGGAAAAAATCTCTCGATACGATCGAATGAGTAGCAATGTAGAAAATCCAAAAGGCTACGAAAATTAAACTTTTGTCTTTTCGATCATCTGATTGCTAGATTACATAAGATCATTATATCGATTTTTGTGCTGACATCTCTTCAAATTGTAACTTGCTCTGTCCAAAAAAATTCACGATGAGTATTCAAAAATCGAAGCAAGCTAATTTTTCAAACACCATACTGCACACACCAAATTTTGTTTGAAAATGAATAATAGAATCACACTCCAACGCAAAAATTTACCATATCTCCGTGCCAAACCGAACATTTTCGTCGAACAATGTTTTTGACCGTTTCATTTAAATTATATATGAATAACACTCATGCGCCGTTGTATATGTATTCCGAAACACACGAAAAATAATGTAATCATTATGTTAAAACATCAAAAATTTCATTTTCAGTGTGTGTGTTCGGTTTTGTTTTGGTCACTTGGTTTGAAATTTAATATAAGTAACATGAATATGTTATGCATAGAAATCAGTCAAACGTATCGGCCGCTGTTTGTGCCGCCGATTGCAATGGGAAAAATTGTACAAAAAAATGAAAAAACAATTGCTATTTACTTAACCGGTATTGTTGTTGTGACAGTTGTTTTATTTTTATTTTTTAAATAGTTGAAGTGGTTTCTGGACGATGCTCCGAAAGATGTGCAGCGGTCGATTAAAATGTATTCTAAATATTGCGCGTGAAGAGCTGAAAATGTGTTTATTACCTATTGGAAGACTCTTGCATTTTCGACACAAAAAAAAGCAACAAATTCGATTTCGGTTCATCATCGCAAACAATAGAACCATCTGCGTTCTTTGGCAAATGGTGTGTTCATTCAACTAATCGTTTTTTTTTTACTTCTTCAATTGAATTAATTTTTGGTTGCACACACCATTTCGAATATGGGCAGCAATCGTTTTCATTTCGAAAAGGAATCATTGTTTAAAAGAAAAATGGCGTCATTCATTGCGCCAACACAAAATGACTTTATTTGGTGGTGAAAGAGAAAAAAAAACCGTGAAGAAAAAACCAGAACCAACCCTGCTGGTTGTACGTATGAAATGTCTGTAGTAACTGCCTTAAGTGCAATTAAAGCGAATGAATTCACTTCGAGTTGGCTTAATCCTTCTAATCCCATTTCTGATGAACGAAAAGCTGTGTTACCACTTTTCTTCCGATCACAGATTTTTTTTTTTTTGTTGTCGGAGTTCTTAGCATAGTCGAGCAATAATTTCTTGTTAAAAGAAAGCATATGATAGGAACTGCTGACAACGGGATACGGCTTAGTTAATGACTTCTCGAGAAGAGAGAGAGAGAGAGAGAGAGAGTAAAAAAATGTTGAAGCCAAAAATTTCACGCGAGCTCGATTGTGATTGCGTATCAACGCAAGGATAATTAAGCAGAGAGAAAGTAACAAAATAACTTGATGTGATGGCGTTCCTTTGAATGATTTTTATTCGATGAATGCTCAGAAACAATTTTTTCTCTCTTATAATGAAATGAATGCAAGGCGAACGTTAAAAAAACATTGAAAAAGAAATCGATAATCCCGTAATTCGTGAAGGCAACACAAACTGAAAAGGAGAAAAACTAATGAGAGAATAAAGAAAGTAACTTAGTTGCTGCATTGCACACAGTAAAAACCAAATGCATGTGTGTGTTTGTTCTGTAGCCGCATAAGTTATGGCTACCTGTGGGTTTCGGTAACTTAAACTTTGTGTACCTGTTTTGTTCATCTTCTATGGTTTGTCGTAAAAAACCACAGGCTCTGCAACATACACACACACATCGATTGCATTGTTATTAGTGGCCGTTTGTTTTTACGGCTGTTGTTATTTCGAGTTTTTTTTTTTCATTTTCTCCAATTTGTAGTTTCTTTTTTTCTCGATGCTTCTTCATCTGTTTCATTTTGTTTGACTCGTTCGATGGGATGACACCAAGTGGTTTCGAGAAGAATGCAATTCGAAGGATGACGAACGAAGATGAAGAAAAGAAGGAATAAGGTGAAATTATTTAATTCTGGCAGCAAACCAAATTGGGTGTTGTTGCACATGTACACAGGTAGCTGAATACATCGATCGAGAAATTAATGGAACGAAACATTTTGATGAAGAGCATATTATGTTTTATGCTGAAAAACTATAAAGAAAATATAGAATGCCGGAATCACGAATTAAACGGCATAGACAATTTACAAGAAGAAAAACATGAAAACTTGCTGATTAGATTATGTGATTGCCCTTTTTTTTATTGTCGTCGTCTGCATTTTCATCATTCGTTTGATGCGTCCGAATTCACATCGATCGAAAGGAACGAAACACACACACACACAGGTCTTTGTTCGTCAATTTGACAAAAAAGAAATGTGTAATTTCATCGAGATCGAGATAAGGGCTAACCCCTGAATAAGCGACAAAAATATGTCAATGTTCGATATCAAATCGTTTTATCAACTGTACGTGTGGTTTGGAAATTAGTCAAATTTGCTCTTTCTTCCCCTTTCCAATGGCAGTGGATTCAATCACGCCATCCATTCTCATTTAGATTTTACAAATGTTACACACGTTATTCTTAACTGTCCCAAGTTTATTGTCATAGTATTATTCATTTTTTGTTTTGTTCAATATTTGCCGTGTGTATTTTTCGTGTCTGTAAAGCATACACAGGGAATAGTGTCGGTTGAGCATTTGTCAAGTGGATTTTGTGAGAAAACCACTTGCCACCTTTTCAACTTGTCGTCGTTTGAGGATTTGTTGACACACAATGAATATACGTCTCAGTTATACCATTCGATTTCTGTACAGCTGGACACATTCAAGTACCACTACACAATATGAAAATCCAACACTTGAACAATGTTTTTTTGCTCCTTTTTACACGGAATTAAAAAAAATTCTCAAGAAAAACGATATCAAATCTATTTGCGCAACAATTACACTCAAAAGGATAATATTTTTTATTGGAATGCATGGTTGTTTATTTACCTGATGGTGATGCGAATGATAGGATGACTGTCGATGGTACATATTTGTATTGGCATGACCGTAGTTTTGTGCCACTGTACGTGGATGTTGAAATGGACCGGCTGATTGAATCATCATATCCAATTCGTCTAAATCGTTTGCTTCATTAATTATTGCGCTTAAATCGGCGGATATTTCCTCCTCGGTTAGCGGCGGATCGAGCAAAAGTTGCAATTCACTGCCGTGAATATCACTCGTTGATGGTTTATTGTCTTTTTGTTCAGTTGTTAATTTTTCGGTTGGAAATGCAAAATTTGTATCAAATTGATTTGATGTCGATGTACTTGCGGTTGCTACACTACTCGATTCACCGTTCACGTCCGAATATTCACTTTTCTTCAGTTCTTCGGCTAAAATTTCATCCTATAAAAATTATATCGATTTTTTTTTGTTATTTGATTTATTTACACTTGGATTACGTATGCCAGTGATACGATTTTAATATTGAAACAAATTAATACTTACAACTTGATTGTTTTCATTCGCAAGATCGGCCAATTGTAAAACATCCTGTAAAATTTCTTCCAATTGTAATGGTAACTGGATGTATTCACCTGGAGATGAAAATCAATAAAAATTAATCATTATTCAATCGGGAAGAAAATGTGTGTGTGTGAGAACTTTTTTAATTAATTGGATTGAGCAAATACCATCGATTTTGATACATCTTATTCAATTTCAAGAGAGACTCAATTTTTCGTCAACAATCTGTCATACATATTTTTTTTTTGTTGTCAAAAACAAATTTGGGCAAACATCAAAATCAACTTATGTGATCAATCACACAAAAAACGACTATGTTAAAATTGGTTCTAATTGAAACGAAAATTCCGAAAAATTAAAGAAAAAACATCGAAGAGAGAAGAATGAAAAAGAAAGAAAGTGACGAACGGTTGAGTATTTATTTAGTTGACATTGAGTTTGAACCACTTTTTCCAGCCTAAGCTCAAACATAAACAGGAAAACTAGATAACGAAAGAATAATATTGTGGACAAAAGCGTTGACATCAAGGTTTGACTATGACGAGAGAAAAAAAAAGTTCTAAATTTTTTCTTAATACCTCCAACTGAAAAATATTAGTTTAAGCCAGATGATGCAAATGTAAACAATTGACACTTTGGAATTTGGGAAAAACCCGCGATGAGAAATGCGTAAGGCAAGTATCTACATTGAAGCACGTACATTCTTCATCTTTTGAAGTGAACAATGGAAAAATAAGTGTTACTTCCTTTTTTCGGGACGGTTTCTTCTTCTCTACATATCCAAAGTTTAAGCCGAAAATAGAGTTCAAAACGGAAATAGAGTATGTCCGATCGGTATTTTTTGTTGGTGTTCTTTTTTTTCATTGCAAATACCAAAGTTCAAAGTGATAATCATACGGTCACATTATTTGTTTGTGGTCGATACAACTATCCGTATCGAAGGGTGAACCAAACTATTTACTTGGATACAAACAGTTCAACTGAACAATGAATACTACATATATGAACACCTTAGACCCCAATCAAATCAGCCCAATTTCATTTTTTCATTGAATGTTTGTTCGATCCGAAGTTTGTTGATTGCTTACATTTCGTGGCCAGACGGACATGTTTTTCAATTATCATGGTGAAATATTTTCTAGGCAATTTATGTTCGACATTAATTTCCGTTCGGACAAATAAACAACATACTGAAATGCTTGACATTTCCATTTGGGTTCGTTACACATGTGTATCGGTGTGTGTGTGTGAGTTTGTTTGGTAACGGTGAAAAAATTACGATTAATCAAAAATCTAACCACGAGAAAATAAACAATTATTGATACATTTACATAACACGAACTGTACGAACCCGACCCAACCCACAAACAACAGCTCAAAAATAGTGTATCTAGTCTGAACCTATGCTCGGGAAATAAGGCTTGTTCAAACATATGTATTGGAAATGAAACAACGCCTTGCATATCGCCCATTTTTTAACACCTTTAACTTTCCTAAGCGAATTCAACTTTTGAATGTTTTTTTTGTTCTCATCATGAAATTCGTTGAGAATTCATCGATTTTTAAGGATTTACAAAAAATCAAATATTGTTCTTCGTATTAAAAGTGAAAATTTGGCGCCGGGCAATGATGTGCAATTAACGGTTTTGTATCCCAAAAACGGTATATTAATCGTCATCGTTGTCATTGTCGCTCGGTTGCTTATAAAATCTTATTGTATAATAGTACCTCATCATTTTGACCGTATTTAACAGCATATATATGCGTCTGCATTTTAGCCACGTCATTTTGAAGCGTTTCGAATTAACTGCCACCGTGATACAGTGAAATTCTCAATCGATTCCAGACTTTACACGATGCATTTTTCACTTTCGTCAAATGAGTGTTGAAAAATCTGTTCTAGTCATATGTGTAGTATTTTAATCCAACAGAGAACTCATTTTTAGATTGAAACAAAAATCGTCTTGCATATACAGTACATCATGTTCCTGTAATAGACCATTTTTGCTTATCAAAATTCAGAAGAAGAAAAAAAAACCGTAGATTTTTCCGCTTGTAGCAATCGCTGTCATTCAATAAATATGAATGTCATAAAACCAACAACAAGATCTTGTCCGAATGAGTTCGTTGCGTTGCAATTTGTAGTTGTTGTTCTTTTTTTTCGATAGTAAAAATTGTAGTTTCATCGAGAATAGAATTATAATGATGACATGACACATTACACTCACATTCATATTGGGTCGCGTGTAATGAAGTAAAGGTATCATTACGAGCCATTATCAAAAGTCATGGAATTGTTGTGCTTTTTTCTCTCGGGTCTCGCATTTCTTCGCTGTTTGTTAGCCCATTTCACTGAGTTCAGATTGAATTATTAGCTCAAAGTAGAAGCACTTGTACATTGACTCGTCAAAGAGGTGACTAAACGAATTGTGCACATCAAATTTTATCAATTGCACTGAAATCGAATTTCATTTAAATCGTAACAAGGTCAACAAATCTGGATTTCAATTTTTTTTTTTTTTTTTTTTTTTAAACTCTAATCTTTGTGTTTTGGAGTTTTTACAGAATTTAGTGGAAATAATTTCAAAATAACGTGAAGAAAAAGGATCGATACTTTATTTCTCTGAAATTCAATTTCATTTCGTGCATCGATGAATGGGCTTTGTTTCTTGTCGATTCGATATTTATTGACATTTTAGTGTATGTTCGGGTGTGTGTATATGTGTAGCAGTGCATTCTTGGCGTCGCCGACGCCATTGCCGTGCCATGCCACGCATGTACATCATTTAACGTGTTTGCATTCATGGATTTTATTTTCTTTCTTCCGACACATACACAAAAAAAGAACGAAACAAATTAAAAATTGAAAACGTGAAATGGGAAATAATTGAAGTGAAATAACAAACGAACGTTGAATTTAACACACAGTCGAAATGTGAATATTGAAATAAAACACGAAATGCTTCAATGGTCGAGTGTGTTATTGTGGTGTTCGGGGCGTATGCATGAACAAAGACTCGAAATCGAAGTGAAGGAAAGAGACGTGAACGGGCGAGACGTGAACGCGAGAGAAAAAAGGTGGAAAGTTCATCATGTATAAGTGTGCATCAATAGTTGGAAGATTTATAATAAACAGAGAGCCGCACGAATTGAATTCTTAACCGATTTTTCAATCAAAACACATCAATAATGCAGTCGATGATAAAAGCATTCCATTACAAACGAAAGGATTCAATGAGTCAAATTCAATTTGGCTGTTGGTGCTATCAGAAGATAAAAAAACGAAGAAAAAACCAACAAAAACAACATTTCAATAAAGTCCGATTTTTTTTTTCATTTGACAACCGTTAGTTCAACCCTTTCTCACCGAAGTGCACAAAGAATGTGCACTGAATGGACTATGCATTGTGGGTACACTATATGTTTTTTTTTGCACGCATGTATGCAACCACAATAGAAAAAGACAGCGGTCGGTAAATTATAAGGCAATGCCTTAACACACAAAACCAAGCATGAAACATTACACATGTCGTTTTATCATTAATTTGCATTTACTTTTCGCAATATGCCTTTGATGTTGTGTGTTGTTGCTGCACATATTGTAGCCAACAACAACAAAAAAATTCATTGAGCATTTACGAAGAAATTTTTTGGCGAAACCCTTTGAAAAGATTGAATCTGCACAAGCGAAGAGATAGAATGAAAGCGATGGCAAAGAAAAGAGAAAGAAACGTACATATAGGTGCAAATCAAATGAAAGAGTGTGTTATGATAGGGAATATGACGACAGTTGAACGGCAAAAAAAAACCGACATAGAGACGAGAGAAACAAGAAAAAAAAACAAGTGCAGAACAAAAGAGTCAGATGAATAGACACTTTGAGGTGTGCTGGCAGCATGTCGGGCATATAAGCAATTGCGATATTATTGTTGTTGCTTATGATTCAATTCAAAAGAAATGCATTTCTTGTATGCCTCGTCAACTTGATACCCAAGCTGTTGAGACAAGACTTGACTGACTTCGATTGTGATCGGCGCGAATGATCAAGATTGCCGATTTAACGAAATACACGCACATACAAATATCTCCAATATCTCTCTCGTCAATGTTGTTTTTTCTTCATTTCTTTCCATCAATTCTGAATTTTTCTTATTTGCCATTTTGATTATGTGATTGAAATTGAGTTTCGTTTTAAAACGGTACAACGACACACTTGTACATGTATGCTGGATGGATAAAGTTGACGCTATTTGACATGTTGATGGCATTAAAAAAAATATATGTGAAGAATACAAGAGAATACAACGATCACAACGATACAAGAAAATAACACATGCACCTAATGGAGTGAACTTATCCTCACTTGTGTAATCTGATGTAGACGAAAAATATGGTCGTTGCTGTTTAAATTGATTCAAAAACATTAAGATGGAGCCGAGAAATGGATTTGTTGTTTTTTTTCTGTGTATGCGTTATATTTCGGTGTCTGATTCCTTGTGTGCGAAAATATGAAAAAGTCGGTGTGATGCGATTAAAAAAACTACTTCGATGCTTTGTGTATATGTGCATTAACAATGCACGCGGAAAACAATCAATGGCTTTTTAATCCATTTCACTGGCGATTCGATCACAAACAAACTATTCCAACACACACAGGAGAGGGAGAGAGAGAAAAAAAAAACAGGAACGAAAAGATGTCGGCTCATACAAAGAGCTTAGCATTTCTTTCATCGTTCCGTTAAGTTGAAAACATTGACCATCTCTCAAATCACACCGGTGTGTGAGCATTCAATCCATCAGTTTATTTGCATGCTTCTTTCCCTTCGGCTTCTTTTTACACCAAAAACCATTGCCACAAAAATTATAAATTATTCCACAATTACATTGCAGTTTTTCATTGCACATAACTCCTCTTTGCTCTCTCTGCGTCTCTCTTTCTCTCTCGGCAGTTCATTTATTCTACTTTACTTTTTGTGCATCAAAAGTTCAAAAATGCAGTCTACCGTATCGACTCTAAGGCATGAAAATGAATCTCTTGCATAGAATGCATGCATTTCATTCGGTTCTGCCA